CCAGCCTTCTGGTTAGCAGTCAAGTGCCTTAGGCTCTATGCTGCCTGAGTTTGTGTGTGGCCATTTCAATGATTTCTCAAAATCATCAGAGAAGCAGAGAGTGCTATCAGAGGGATGACTGGTGTCGGAATTAGTTATGCTGAATGAAATTAGTCAATCACAAAAGGACAAATATTGTATGAGACCATGATTGTAAAAAGTCAAGAAAAGGTTTAAACACAGAAAGAAACATTCTTTGAAGATTACCAGAGGTGGGAGGGGAACAAGAGTGGGGTGGGTAAATTATTGAGTAGAGAGTAGATGAATATTAACTTGGGAGAAGAAGAGACAATATACAATAAGGTGGAGGTCAGCACAAGGCAAAGGACACACTGGGAAGAACACAGGAGTTAAAGGCAACAAAGGTAAATACTATCACATACACAATTCTGCAATAACAATAATATGCAAGTGGACACATAGACATGCAAACTGAACAGGTGTGGGAAGGTGAATGGAACTACACCCGTAAATATATATATAGGTTTGGCAAAGGATATTTCTCTGTATGTGTTTGTACTGCTGCAAATATATCCAAGATTATAGTGCAAAGCATACAGGGGCAAAGTTATGAAAACTAAGTAGCCATAACCAAACTCCTTGAGGGAATGAGTTGCTAGACCTGGGGGCTCAGAACCATAGTCTCTGGGGACATTAAGGTCAATTGGTGTAACACAATCCACAAAAACAATGTTCTACATCCTACTTTGGTGAGTAAATGATTAGGGTCTTAAAAGCTTGTGAGCAGCCATCTAAGGTGTAACTCTTGGTCTTTCCCTATCCGAAGCAATCGAGAGTGAAGAAAATCTAAGACGCATGGACTAACAGGCCACTAGAACCTCAGCCTCCACAATCCCGAGACCAGAAGAACTAGATGGTGCCCGGCTGCCACTGCTGACCACTCTGAAGGGAGTCAATCACAATAGAAGGCCCTGGATAGAGTGGGAGAAAAATATGGAACAAAACTCAAAATCATAAAAAAAGACCAGGCTTACTGGTCTGATAGAGACTGGTGGAACCCTTGAGAATATGGCCCTTATTTACCCTTTAAGCCTGGAGCTAAACTTATCCTCATGGCTCAACTTTCTGCCAAATAATAGACAGGCCCATAAGGTGAATAATAATACAAGGAAGGTTGCATACTCCTTAGAACAATACAAGATCAAAGGGGCAGCATTTGCCCAGGGATAAAGCTTAGAAGGCAGGAAGGGATAGGAAAGAAGGACAAATGGAAATGGGAAACACAGGGAAGAAATGGAAAGAGTCACATAGTTGGGATCACAATCAATGTCACAAAACAAAATATGTATAAATTGTTGACTAGAAAACCAATTTGCTCTGCAAACTTTCACTCAAATCACACACACACACACACACAGGCTGGAGAGAGGAGGTAGCTCTGACCTCCGCTTCACAGGAATTAGCCTTAAGTTGTTGATCTTGATTCTCCTTTCCCCTTGTGAAGTTAGAGGCAGTCAGACACCCCTGCCACACCCTTTTTACAATATCTATTTCTATAATAAAACACATAGTAACCACAGATACAGAGACTTCCTAGATATACCCAAACAACTTGTAGGATTTGTTGACTGGGTTAAAAGGCTTAGGACCATAGTCTTGTGGGATAACTTAGTCAATTGACATAATATAGTTCCTAAAAATAATGTTCTACATTCTAGTTTGGTGAGTAGTGTCTGGGGTCTAAAAAGCTTGCAATCAGCCATCTTGCAAACACTGGACTCTACTCATTTGGAGCAGAAAAGAATGAAGGAAACCGAAGACTCGGGGAAGAAACTATTCCACAGGACCAACAGGCCGAAAGAACCATGGCCTCTTCTAACCTGAGGCCAGAAGAACTAGACAGGGCCCAGCTATCACTACCTCCTGCTCTTACCAGGAAAATAATGGAAGGTCCCAGACAGAATGGGGGGAAAATGTAGAACAAAACTCAATTTCCTAAAAAAGGCCAGACCTATTGGACTGCTAGAGACTAGAGGAATCCCCAAGACTATTGCCCTAATGTCCCCTTTGAACTCAGAATTGAAGCTATTTCTGGAGGTCACCTTTCAGCCAAATAACAGATTGGCTTGTAACACTACAAATAACATACTCCCTTAATCAACTATATGAGACCAAACAGTCAATATTTACCCAAAAGCAAAGATGAGAAGCCAAAGGGGAAGGGAAGCTAAACCAATAAAAACAGAACAGACTGAAAATAAGGAGAATGCTGACACATAGTGAGAACTGTAACCAATGTCACGGAACAATTTGTATAAACATTGTTAAATGGGAACCTAATGTGCTGTATAAACTTTCACCTAAAAGACAATAAGATACTTTTTAAAAAATGAAATGAAGTACTGACATGTAGTACAACATGAATGAACCTCAAAAACTTATAAAGTGTCCAGAAAAGGAAAAATGGATAGAGACCGTGGTTGCTAGGGACTAGGGGAAGGGGGAAATGGGAAGTGAGTTAATGAGTACAGGGTTTCTTTTTGGGGTGATGAAGATGTTCTGGAATTAGATAGTGGTGCTGGTTGCACAATCTACTAAATAGACTGAAAGCCACTGAAAAGTCCACTTTAAATGGGTGAATTTTTTGGTATGCTGTTATTTCCACAACAGTTTTTTAAAAAACTACATTGAGATTTTTGCTTATGAAATTACCAAAGGTCCAAAAGCCTGCTAGGCAAACTGGGCAGGGTCCCATTATTACTCTAATGTGCATAGAAGAGTCTTACCATCATTTATGGTAATATTAGCAAGATCCACAATCTTATCAGGAAGTTCTTGAAGCAATTTGCATTGTTTAAGCTTTGGTTTTTCCCACTCAGATTTGCCACTGTTGATACTGATTGAACTGAAAAAGAAAAGAGAGAGGAACAAAAAGTATTATCCAGTTTTCTCATTGGAGGATGATGTGAAGATAGTCTTCAAGCAAATGATAAAGGGACAGATTATCTATGCATGCCTTCTCTTTGCCCACCCCAGGCTCTTGGCAGAGAAGAACAGGTTGGAGCTAGTAATTCTTTGTAAAGTGAGGAAAACTTTGCTTTTGGAGAACAAATGAATCTAGGGCCACCACGTAGGAGTGGTTTGGGGAGGGGAAAAGCAGGCAAGAGAGCCTGGGATGAAGCATGGCAATGTCCAGTGGCCAGAGAGTCAAGGCAGAGATTTTGCCTGTTTGGACATGGCTTCTTACTCTCATTTTCTCTTCCTACCCCCGTTTTAAGGGAGCTCTGGTGGCATAGTGCTTAAGGTTTTTGACTGCTAACCAGAAGGCTGGCAGTCCAAACCCACCAGCCACTCCTCGGAAGGAAGGTTGGGCAATCTACTTCCGTAGTGATACCACCTCGGAACCCCAAGAAGGGGTCGCTATGAGCGGGTCCGACTCAACGGCACATAACAACAACAACAACCTCCATTTTAAGGGGAAATTCCTATTGGGATGTGGTTCCTATATTTAACATATTAATTTACTCAAGATGCTTAGTACAGCACCCTCTGTAGTCATCGGACCTCCTCCATCCTTCTCGCTACATCATTCAATGCAACCCAGCTCATTTCAATTCAGCTAACACATTGGCGGAGCACCACTATGTTCTGGGAATGATGTAGGTAGCACAGACAAATAGGGCAGGATCTTGTCTTTAGAGGAGCTCATAATTAGATGGTGTGAGACTCTAAATGTAGTTGCCCTAAAATTAGGCAAAATGTGATATGAAAAGCTGTATCTAAAAAGGTGGATCTATCAAACCATCAAGAGTGGGAACTTATTTTCAATTTTTGAGCTGAGCTAGGCTTTGAAAGGACTGGGCTGAGAGAAAGATCCTCCGAGCAGCTCAAAAGCATAAGCAGAGGAAGAGACACAAGGAAGTGCCAACTGATTCCAAAATGTCAAATGGTCCTTTCTGGCTGGAACACATGGTAAGGAAGGGAGACTATTAAGCGAGATAGCTGGAGAGAAAGCCTGTGGGTCTTGGATGATTTAGGAGTTTGCACTTAATTATTGAGTCAGTGTGGAATCTGAGCAGGAGAGTGACAAGATGGCAGTTGGCAATCATACTTCAGGTAAGTCACTCTGGCTGCACTGTGGATCACTGGCAGACAGTGGATCACTGGAAGGCAGCCAGCTGCTCTAATGGTAGGCAAGAGGTAAGAATTTGAAGCAAGGTGGTGGCAGGGTGGTTGAAAAGTCACATCTAGCAGTGGGGCTAGATGTGAGCTCTGACTGTAACAGTAAAAGCTGCATGCCCAGACACAAAAGGCCAAACATTGATTCCACGTTCATGAAATGTCTGACATAGACAAATGAATAGAGACAAAAGTTTATGAGTGGTCACGAGGGGTGGGCGGGACAAGAAAGTGGGAGTGAAGTGCCTATGGGCACTGGGTTTCCGTTGAGAGTGATGGATAATTTTGGAAACAGATAGTGGTGATGGTTTTGCAACATGAGAAATGTCATTAATGCCACTGAATTGTACATCTGTCAATGGTAGAAATGGCAAATGTTTGCTTGTATATCTTTTGCCACAAGACTTGTTTTTCAAAGCTCCACTCCTTGCTCACTGATTCGATGTGGGGAGGACAAGGTAGGATGCAGTTCAAGATGTCTCCTTCCAAGAGAGCTTTTAAGCCTCTGTCAAAACCTGCTGCTCCTCTGGTCTTTCCCACTTAAGTTAATGGCAAAAACCATTAACAGCAGAGAGTAAGAAAAGAGGGCTGCTGTGGTTTTTTTTTTTTTTTTTTAATGATAAAGTCAACAATAGAAGAGTAATTTAGTGAATTATTACGGCCCATCAATGAGATCATTTCTGAGGTAGTTTTTCAAAATGATCATTAAGAAGATGAATGTAAAAACACGGAAAATCTTTGACCAACCACTGAGTGAAAAGGTAAATTACATTATTGATATGAAAACGGTGATTACTATTACATAAAACTTAAAGGCAGACAGAGAAAATATGCCCACGTAAAAGCGGCTGTGTTCCCGGAGTGGCATTATGGGTGCCTTTTTGCTCTTTTTCTTTTTTGAAAATTGTTCTAGGATGTTATGATGTTTCATGTGTAGGTTTAAGTAGATCCAAAAGGGAAAAGAAGAAAGAGAGGGAGGGGGAGGGAAGAAAGGGGAAGGGAGGAAAGGAGGGAAGAGACTGGCGTAGACATGGAGGGAAGGAGAATGCTGAGACAAATGACATTGAAATATGCCCCCAATTCAGTGGATCTTTGTGTATTTGAACTAGTAATTAGAGCTTGGCTGGTACATACCAGATTCTAGTAGCATTTCGATCCTCATTTTTTATGCATCTAGTTTGGGCTATCTCAGTAGGGTTAGTTAATAGCCACTTATATGTCCCTTTGAATTTAGAGACTGTTTCATCGGCTTTGCATTTTCCCGGCTCTAAAGAGAAAATGTATGCATATTTTAAAGGGCAAAGGGAACTTCGAAGTATCATGAACAGCCATTAGGGCCCATCACTATTGCCTTGCACATAGACATCAGCAAATAAAAGAGGAAGCTTTTTTTTTTTTTTTTTTTTTTTTTTTTTTGCTTCCCAGTTTATTAAAACCGGGGTTCCGTGAAAAGCCCATTAAATGGCCTCTTCCCACCCCCACCCCCCACCCCTCGCCCCGCAATAAGCCACACCACTATAACGGCACATTTAATCATTTTCATGAAAATCACCATTTTTTGCTTTTTAGAAAATAATACATATGCATTGAAAAAATTCAAGCCACACAAAGGGGTCTAGAATAAATATCAAAAGTCCCCACCTGCCCTGGGGATGCCTTCTCTTCCAACACATGGCGACCCACTGTGTGTCAGAGAGAACTGCACTCCAGAGGGTTTTCAGGGGGTGATGTTTTTGGAAGTAGATCACCAGGTCTTTCCTCCAAGGCACCTCTGGGTGGATTTGAACCACCAACCTTTCCGTTAGTAGCCAAGTGCTTATGTTCGTGCCACTCAGGGCAACTTCTCACTGCCATCAAATCAATTCCCACTATTAATTTGGTGGGCAAGGGCAGGAATGTGTAGGCCAACTTCTCTTTCTGAGTGGCTCCCCTCTTTCTTCAGTAGACTCTAGAGAGACATGCCAGCCTCTCTAAGGAAGAAAGATGAAGCAGTCTGCTTCTGTAAAGATTTACAGCCTTGGAAACCCAAGGGGGGTTGCTATGAGTCGGAATCAACTCGATGGCAGAGTTTGGTGTTGAGTGAGTTTTAGGGGTGGTGTTGGTTTTAGTAAATTCAATATATCTGACGTCACCAATACAGACAGAGGAGTCCTGTTCTGAGGTTGGTGCTGAGGGACAGAACTAACAACCCTCCCCAAAGGGCAAAGGGCGGCCAGGGTAAGGTTTTGCTGCCTACCATTGTCCACTAGGGAGCTCTAGTAGCATAGTGCCTAAGGCACTTGGCTGCTAACCAGAAAGCTGGTGGTTCAAACCCACCAGCCACTCCTCGGAAGGAAGGTTGGGCAATCTACTTCCGTAGTGATACCACCTCGGAAACCCAAGGAGGGGTTGCTATAAGTCAGGTCAGACTTGATGGCAAATAACAACAACATTGTCCCCTAGAGGGAGTGTGACAAGGCATTGTGGGTGCATGACTCTGATTCAGGAAGTCGTTCCCTCCAGCATTGACAGAGTGGTCCCAGCAGTGGGCCAGCCAGCCTTGCCCAGCCATCCCAGTCTCCTGTCTGAGGGAGGAGGAAAGGTGCCTTCCTCTCACTCTCAGGGCACCTTCATTAGTGACATCTGCATGGTATGCTCTGCTTGTGGATTCAACACCTCTCTGCCTTCTATTCCCTGCTTACCTTGCGCAATCACGGCTGCCTTATGCTTCTTAATTCATTTGTTGCCAAGGATTGTGCATTCTAATGCCTATGTGTGTTTGTTGAGTTAGCTCAATGTTTTCACCGCCATCTATTAGGAAAAGGAACACAGCTGGCGGCAATGGGGAAGGAGGTGGAATGGCCTGGTAGCCTTTCCCTCTTACCACGAAAGCCTTGCTAATCTGAAAAGAAAAGGCCAAGGAGAGAAATCTGGGAACTGTCCCAGATCATTTTCCAAGATGAATAGGCTGGGTGAGTCAATCAATAAACTGGCAAGCACCTAGAGGGCTTTATTGTATATAATGGGCATGCTCCCCAGGTCTCTAGAATGCTCTCACTCTGTTGATAAACTGTCCACTGCTGACATGACCTCTCCAGCACTCTGGTTTTTTCACATGTTCTTAAAGGTTGAAAAGTTGTCAGAATAAGTGGGCACCAAAATGTGGAAAAGGTGTGGCTTCTCTACCCTCTGAACTCTGGTTCTCTTACTATGCATTATCACTTGATAATAAAGAGAGTGAATTTATCCCCAAATACCAAAAAAAAAAAAAAAAAACCTCACTGCCATCAAGTCAATTTGACTCATAGTGACCCCTCCTTGGGTTTCTGTGGCGGTATCTCTACAGAAGTAGATTGCCCAATCTTCCTTCCAAGGAGTGGCTGGGGGGCTTGGACCACCAGACTTCTGGTAACCACCCCCCCCCCCCAAAAAAAAAAAAAAAGAATTACCTAGTTGTTTCACTGCAACATGTTCAGACTTTACTAATAACATCAATTGATCTTGTGTGAAGTTTCCATGGGTAAGGTTGCCATGTATTTTACTTTTGATCTTGTTAATCAATTCCCTGGGTGCTAAAGAAGAGTTGGCTTTTATGATGACCTGACAAACACAGCTGAAAAAGAGAGCAAAAGAGAAAGCTGTTGCAGTTATGTCAACAGAGTGGCCTGTGGTGTTCAATTTCTGTACAGCTGACTTAACTTGTAGTCTACAAATATCAAACATTTTACAGCTATTAAGTGGAAAATCTTAAGAAACGATGGAAGTCTTCTGATAAATTCTGATGAATTTTCTCATATCCAAAACAGACGACTCAAAACCTATTTTCAAAAGAATGGCCAGCAAAATTTGCATTATGTTGAAATTGACTAGGTGTGCAAATTCACCAGAAGTTTGCAATCACTAATAGAGAAGATGGAGTACTCAGGATTTATTACTTCAGAGAAAGCCTTTTATCTTCCTGCTCTCCAAATTATCCATCATTACGACAATAAGGTGAATAGACACATACCCCATTATTTTATCAAGATGTGTTCTGCAGAAGGCCTATTCTATAATAGAATCATAATGATGATAGTGATAGTAGTTAACATTTTTGGAGCTCTTGTTCCACATGTTTCGACTTATTTTATCCTCGAAAGAACCCTATGAGGTAAGTAATATCATTACTATCCCCATTGTACAGATGAGGAAACTGAGTCTTAGGGAGACGATATTTCTCAAGATCGCAAGGACCCAATACTGCCTTTCTGATTATTCTGTGCACTGAAAGATAAGTTACGAAAGGAAACGGTTGGTCTTGACCTAAACCTCCACAGCGAGGTCCATAAACATTCTGATTTCTTCTAACATCCCATTAAGGAGTTTATTTCAGATTCACAAAGTTACCTATGTATATTTTTTCTCATTTCTTTTGTAGATACATCTTTTTGAAGAACACATTTCCCAAGTTTCCTATCAGTCATAGAAAGTTAGATAGACGTGTGTTTGCTCCAAACATCTTTGTCCAATGTAAGCACTACTTCCCCCTCCTCTGAGCTGTATTTGCTGATGTCCCTGCTCATCCTCCCCATTCCATTTGCAGTCTATCTCCTCTCACCTTTCATCTTTCTAGTCTGAAGAGGACTCCTCTTTTAAAACTTCTTCTCTTTCTTGCAACAGACCTCTAGTACCCTAATCAATCCAGTGACCTTCTCATGAGACTTCTTGGTTATTATTTCTCTCTTAAAGTACATCAAGCTGACCGAAACAGCCATGGTTTGGGGAGGAGCTGGATCACAAGTCTGAACAGGACCAAGGCTGCTTTCCATGTTGTCTTTCAATTTCTTTGCTCAGTATTTTGGGGACCTTTTTGACCACTACAAACACTTCATTCCCCCACCCCTAAATTATGACCACTTCGAACCCCATTTTCTCTTCACTACAAAGAGGTAGCAGGCAGGCTGCTAGGCTGTGCAATGACCAACTGAAACAACTTGTTTAATGAAGGCAAGAGCCCAATTACAGCATCTGTAAAATAACCACTGGGTACTTTGATCTCCTTCTGAGTACTCTGACCAAGAGGCTGCACATACAGAATTAAATGGAAGAAAAATCAGAACTAAATGTACTGGCTATGAATAAGCCCAGCTCTTACCTGTATGGTACACGGGAAGCTGTAGCCATTCCTTGCCCTTCTCTCTGTTCCAACTGATGCAAAAGAGAAGTACATAATCACTGAAATCTTTAAACCAATGTCACAACTGAGTACAAGGTTATCGCTAATAATACCAATCATAACTACAATTTATATTTATGCAACTCATTGTCATTTGCTAATCACTTACAAAAACATCAATGCATTTGGTCCTCATACCAACGCTGTAAGATGGGTGATGCAGGGATTGTTGCCCCATTTTCTAGCTGGGAAAGCCAAGTCTCAGAGAGTTAAATGACCTGCCAGCATCACACAGCAGAGTCACAGCACTGGGAGTGGAATCTGAGCCTTTTGGATCTGAGTACTAACATGATGATAACAATAGTAACCACTATCAAGCATTTACTATGTTCTAAGGCCTGAGCTAAGGACAGTGGTGGTTCAGTAGAAGAATTCTCTCCTTCCGTGGGAGAGAACTGGGTTTGGTTCCCAGTCAATGCACCTCATGTACCAAACCCAAAACCAAACCCACTGCCATTGAGTCAGATCTGAGTCATAGCGACCCCTCCTTGGGTTTCTGAGGTGGTATCTCCACAGAAGTAGATTGCCCCAGTCTTCCTTCCGAGGAGTGGCTGGTGGGTTTGAACCACCAGGCTTCTGGTTAGCAGTCAAATGCCTTAGGCACTACACCACCAGAGCTCCTACCGCATGTACAGCTCCCAGCAATTTGATAGTGGAGGTTAGAGTGTGGTTGTGCTGCTGAACAGATTTCAATGGAGCTTCCAGACAAGATGGACTGGGAAGAAAGGCCTGGTGATGTACTTCTGCAAATCAGCCAATGAAGCCCTGTGGATCACAAAGGTCCAACTCTGTTGTGTTGGGGTAGCCATGAGTTGGGGGCTGACTCCAGGGCAGCTAACAACAACAACAACAAAGCCCTGAGCCAAGCACATTACATGAAATATCTCATTCTACCCTTTCAACAGCCCTGTGAGGGACCCATACCATTGTCACCCCCATTTTACATGTGAAGAAACTGAGACACAGAGAGAACAATTAAGTTGCTCAAGGTCTCACAATCCAGAAATGGTAGAGCAGAAATTCTAACCCAAGCAGCCTGACCCTGGAGACCACATTATTCACCAAAAGGCTCTTATACCGATTATTTAAGAGGAATTTTCATTGTGTCATATTATCTATAATGTGACTAATAAAATTTCTGACTCATCTATTTACAGAAAATATTTTAATGAGAGCAGATAATTTGGAATGTACCGGAGGCGTGATTGTATTTTAGATAGCCAAAATATGTATCTCATATTTAAATACCTTGAAAACTGTATGCTCACTAATCATTTCTGAGTGTAATATAGTAAAGCTTTGATGCACTGGAGTTATCAGTTGCCATGGAGTCGATTCCAACTCATGGCGGCCCCATGCATGTCAGAGGAGAACAGTGCTCCATAGGGTTTCCAGTGGCAGATTATTTTCTGAAGTAGATCACCAGGCCTTTCTTCCTAGGTGCTGAGAACATTAACTACACTACACTGGAATAAGTACTGAGAATTGGGGCAAGGGTGGTGGCAGATAGTTTTACAAAACTGATTTCAAATCTATACAACTAGAGGGTGGGTTTGTTGTGTCACTCTTGGAAGAAACTCAAAAAACTCACTGCCATCGAGTCCAATCCAACTCATAGCGACCCTTCCTTGGGTTTCTGAGTGGTATCTCTATGTAAGTAGATTGCTCAGGCTTCCTTCTGAGGAGTGGCTGGTGGGTTTGAACTGCCAGCCTTCTGGTTAACAGTCAAATGCCTTAGGCACTATGCCACCAGAGCTCCTTCTCTTGGAAGAGCCATGTTTTTTTTGCAAGATGTCTACTACCAAGAGATCCCATGTCCCATGTACAATTACCAGGTCATTCCACAGTCCCATAGGCCACAAATATGCCTCAAGACACTGCCACACAGATAGTTCAGAAAAGCAAAGGATGGTTTTCTTGATGAGTTCTTGTGCCCAGCCCAAGGAAAGTAATGTAATTTGATCCTTGGTTGTCACAAATGAGCCTTGATCAATAGTATACACTTGGTGGAAGAGTTATTTATTTATCTGTAATGGAGGCCATGGGTGATGCAAACATTTAACACATTTGACTACTAATCGAAAGGCTAGAGGTTCAAGTCCACCCAGATGAGCTTCAGAAGAATGGCCTAGGGGTCTGCCCTCTGGAGCACAGTTCTACACTGACACACATGGGGTTGCCATGAGTCAAAACTGACCTAATAGCAATTGGTACTGGTAATCAGGTACAGAATGGGCCGCAAGTAGATTCATTTTGAAAAATTACTTACAATAGCTCTGTCCATCGTTATTTCTTCCTCAGATGTGTCTCTGTATCAAAAGCAGCACAAAATTACAGAAAAAGTAAATGTAGCACCAAATGCATGAGGACACAAGATTGGGAAAAAGACAACTTTGAGGCAGAATAGCAGAACCCCCAAGCTTAGAATTCAAACAGTGACAGAATCCCAGGGAACACTTTGAAAGAGCTTGGTTGTTATTTGCAGACAAGAAAGGTGGTGAGTCTTTGATTCAGCAATCCCACTTCCAGGAAACTATCTATCCTATAGCAGTACCAGTAAGGGTGCTTAAAAATGTACAAAGGTGGAAGAAACCCAGATGTCCAACACTTGTTGTTGTTAAGTGCTGTCGAGTCATTTCCGACTCATAGCGACCCCATGCACAGCAGAACG